CTGTCTGTCTGTCTTGCAGGTGTGGTTCCAGAACCGTCGGGCCAAGTGGCGGAAGCGGGAGAAGGCGGGCGCCCAGAGCCACCCTCCGGGGCTGCCCTTCCCGCCGGGCCCGCTCTCGGCCTCGCACCCGCTGGGCCCTTACCTCGACGCCGCTCCCTTCCCGCCGCACCACCCGGCCCTCGACTCCGCCTGGACGGCCGCCGCCGCCGCCGCTGCCGCCGCCGCCGCCGCCTTCCCGGGGCTCCCTCCGCCGCCGCCTCCGCCGCACCCGCCGCACCCGCCCCCGCCGGGCTCCTCGGCCGCCTTGGGCCCCGCGGCAGGGACCCCGCTCGGACTCAGCACTTTCCTCGGGGCCGCCGTCTTCCGGCACCCGGCCTTCATCAGCCCCGCCTTCGGAAGGTAAAAGAGAGAGAGAGACCCCAGGCCATAGGAAACAAAAGGAGGATAAAAGGGCTCAGCCCTCAGCCATTCCCAAACTTTGGTCCTCCAGGTGTTTGGGACTCCAGCTCCCAGAATTGTCTGACTCTTGGACCAAACTTTGGTTTCCCCCCCCCCCCCGGTGTTTGGGACTTCAGCTCCCAAGCTGGTTGGGGCTTCTGGGAACTAAAGTCCAAAACACCTGGAGGACCAAAGTTTGAGATTTGCTGCATGGCCAAGGCGGTGAGTCCCAAACTTTGGTCACCCAGATGTTTGGGACTTCAGCTCCCAAGCTGGTTGGGGCTTCTGGGAGTTGACATCCAAACCATCTGGAAGACCAGAGTTTGGGAACCACTGCTCCTGAGGGTAGGCTTTAGGCCACCTGGGAGTTTGACTTGTGAGGTGGTTTGAGGGTTGGGCTAGGACTCTGGGGAGCATTGGTGTCAATAGGGGGGTTCAGGGGGTGCAGTCCACAGTGGGTGACACCCTCAGAGGGGGTGACATACAGCTGCTCCCCAAACTTTGGGCAGGAACTGGCTGTGGCATTTTGCCTGCATCCCATTAAAAGTCTGAAGACATGGGGTGAGGCTCACTTTGAGGAGAAAGGAGAGGCCCCACATTTTCTTAAAATGTAACCATTTAAATTTTAAAATTTTAAAAAATATATTCTTTTAAAATTTTCTTTAAAAACATTCCATTTTCCCAAATTTCCCACTTGAACCACATGACACTATGTATATGTAAGCACCTTTAGAGTGTGCATATGATATTGTAATTTAAAAATATAATTTTAATTGTGCTAGTTTTGTTTATGTCACAACTATTACATCGATATACGGGGAAATACGATTTATGAGTCACATTAGTACAAAAAACATGACAGACACCGAAGGGAAAGAGGATATGGATCCTGCTGCACTTTTCCCAGAGAGACCAAAAGCACTTGCAAGGATGGAGAGGATGCCCACTGGCAAAAGGAGCCACTTTCTTTTTTAAAAAATGTCCCACTCATTGATTCCCAAGCTTTGGTCACCCAGATGTTTTGGACTTTAACTCCCAGAATTTCTGACTGCTGGCCAAGCTGCCTGGGGCTTCTGTGAGTTGAAGTCCAAAACATCTGGAAGACCAAAGTTTGGGGACTGCTGCGACCTGAGGGTAATCTTTAGGCCACCTGTGAATTTGACTTGGTGTTGTGATTTGAGCATTGGACTAGGACTCTGGAGATCAGGGTTGATTCCTCACTCAGCCCTGGAAACCCACTGGGTGACCTGGGGCTAGACACACTCTCTCAGCCTCAGAGGATAGCAAAGGCAAACCCTCTCTGAACAAATC